AGTGGCGGGGCGCAAGAGGGCTGGCGCTGACCTCCACCAAAAAGAAGAAGTAATTTTATCGGAATACAAGAGTTTTTCTTTTCGAAATCCGAATAGAATAGACAGGGTACAGGTTGTATTCGAATACAACCTGTACATTTTCTATTCGAGGAAACTGTGGTATTCGAGAAAAGTGCACCCGCACCGTTTCAATTTCGAAAAAGGCTTCAGGACCGCGGCCTCCTCAGCCTCCTCCGCGCAGCTACCGGTCCTACGCGGTCCTGGCCCTTGCAAGGTCCCAAAACCTCAAAATGCCCACCCTCCCGACGACCACGACGTTGAAATGTCTCAGGGGGGGAAAACGCAACCCTGACGGGCTGCGAACAGACACTGCCTGCGCACCACCCAAGCAAGGGTAGTCCACGGTGTTGTATGTTGGTTGTGGGTTTCACAGGGTTTGCTTGGGGTGTTGGTCTCAGGTGTTCTGATGTCCTCCCCAGTCTGGCATATCATACGATCATTCCATTTCCGGTAGTTGCTCATACTGTAGAGTCTTGGATTACATGTTACAAGGTCACGGGTTCAAGCTTGGTTCGGTCCTTGGTGGGGGTCCTTGTCCAGCTGGCCCATTCTCTCCTCGATACATGATTCACAGATTACACATAGCTTTCCGGCATACACACATAGCTTGCGAATTATATATCGCTTACAGGTTACATACACAAGTTTCCACACATGATACTGTCTACACAGATTCACACAATATATACACAAAAAAAACAGGCTCATTGTCTGGGCCTGGCGTCCGAAGTTCCCGTTCAACAAAGTTCATCCGATTCCGCTTCCATCAGGGCTGGGCAATCTATCAGCCCTGGTGCCTATCACTGCTGTTCGGTCCAAGTTGCCTGCCCGTTGGTAGGGCAATGGTCCTGAGGTGCTGGTCACACTGAGGTAGAATAGTGGGATAGGGGGTGCACTAGGAGTATTGTCGTTAGGATGGGTTAGGAGGTGGTCTCATATGCCTGCCCGTTGGTAGGGCAATGGTCCTGAGGTGCTGGTCACACTGAGGTAGAATAGTGGGATAGGGGGTGCGCTGTCATGAGGATGTGTTGGGAGGTGGTCTCATATTCCAGGACACCCACAGCTCACAGTTCCAGGTGATCACTGTGCACTCATTGACTGGCCTCTACAACACCCTGGACTTTTGTT